CCACCCCGCCAATAACCCTACTCCTACCTCAGACACTGCTGGTTCCCAACACCGTGGGCACTTCAAACTCCACACAAACAAGGCGAGGCTGAGAATCTGCCTCCCCTTGCCTTATCACGAAGGTGGGGGGGGGGCACCTCCTTGCTTCTCCTCCCGGCCAGGGCACAGCCCCTTCCCTCTCACGCACTCCCCCAGCCCAGCGACGCCCCCCTGTGGAAGAGGCGGCACGCCTCGACCGGGCATTGCCCCTGCAAGTTCCCTTCCCTAGTCTCCTCTAACCGACCGAGCAGCAGCAGCTCCTATTTCCCCCACCCCGGCTCCCCAACTCGCTGCACTTCACCACTCCTGCAGCGTGTGTCTTTTTTCCCCCTCCCCCCACTCCCGTGTGAATGCGCTCACCGGGGGGAGGAAAAGCCCAAAGCGGGTTTTGCCTTCTCCTCGACGTCCCTCCGCTCACGCTCAGCTCCTGGCCGCCATTTTGCTCGCTGCCTGGATTTAAAATAGGAACCAGCCTCCTCAAAAGCAGCCGCCAGCTAGAGCCGGAGCCAGCCCGGCAAGCGCGAGTTCAGTTGGGATTTGTAGTTCACTGGCTCGCCCACCGCGCGATTATCAAGCAAAGGCTTTACACGGATGGCCTCACAGCGTCCGCCCCCCCCCCCAAATCATCCGTCACTCACTCGCACAAAAGGGAAAACCTGCAGGGCCCTTCGGGGGCTGTAGTCCTGTGGGCAGCTGCGTTGCTCGGTTTACAGCCCTCTAGTTCTCTTCTCAAGCGCTTCTCTCCTGTTGAAACAGGAATACTTCAGCTGATGCTCGTGTCTCAGCATTTTAACTTTTTGCTGCGGTAATTTCTGGGGGTTTTTTTTACTACTTGATGTTACAAAGCCGCCGGGGTCCCGTATCATCTATACCGAGGTTTTGTTTGTTAAAGTCCTCTCCACCCAAAAAAATAACAGTTATAAAGGGAGTTTACACGGAAAATAAGACAGAGACAGCCTATAACGGCATTTCATCGAATCCTAACCCTAGGTTTAGAGTTCAAGGTCTCCTCCAGGATTGAGTGCCTAATTACAACCAAGCCGTTACAAACCTAGGGAGTAAGCAAATCCTATATTATCCAGTGGGCTTTACTCCCGGGAAAGTGTCTCTTCGGAATGCATCCACAAAATGGGGGAAGGGGAAATGTGGATCAAATCACATCAAATAACACCTTCATGACTGTGAGCTGCATTATACAATCATGGATCCATCCTGCCCTCTATAGTGCTATTGTAGCACAAGAGCACACATAATGCCATACAGCAGATCTTCATTATTCAGGTGTTGTGTATTGAGAGCTTCGAGGGAACAACCATTGTGCAAGAAGCTCCTTGCAGCTACATTTAGATTGGCCGCCCCTGCCCAGTCAGCCAATCAGATAACAGAAGCTTAAATGATGCCATACTAATAAGGGATCCAAGTGCCTATGTTCCCATTGGTTTAATTGTATTTTGTGGGTGTGTTTTGGGGCTAGGGTTTGTGTAAAGAAGAAGAAGAAGAGATTGGATTTATACCCTGACTGAACAACAACTTCACTTGGAGTCTCAGAGCAGTTTACAAACTCCTTTCCCTTCCCCCTCCCCACAACAAACACTATGTGAGGTAGGTGGGGCTGAGAAAGCTCTGACAGAAACTGCTCTTTTTCAAGAACGGCTCTGACAGAACTATGGTTTGCCCAAGATCATCCAGCAGCTGCAAGTGGAGGCGTGGGGAAATCAAATCCAGTTCTCCTAGATTAGAGTCCACACACTTAACCACTACACCAAACTGGCTCACAGTTTGATTATAGTTGCGGCTCACTACATGTGTTATGTATGTTCCTGAATAAAAGAGCTATGCTGAAATCACAGTAGTCTCTTGAACCCACTACTTAACAGTAGGGTTACATTAGTATCCTCGAGGACACTTTGGTTAAACAATCATAGGAAGGCACTTTCTGGACCGGGAATTATTACCAGTGAAACACCACTTGGCATGTGATTGCATTAGGGTTGCCAAGTCGAAAATCGTTGAAAGCGGGGGACTCCTTTCCGGTGTCCTATGCGCGCGCGCGCTGCGCACACATCACCAGGAAGTGACGTTATTACTCCAGGCACGCTGGGGGCGGGGCCACGACCATCCAAGGGGGAAACATAGAGTTTCCCCCTCGGATGGTCG